GGGCGTGGTGGAGAGCCTGTAGTCCTAGCTACTCAGGAGGCTGAGGCAGGAGGATGGCTTGAGGTCAGGAGTTTGAGGTTGCAGTGAGCTATGATCAGGACACTGCACGCCAGCTTTGGCAACAGAGCAAAACTCTAAGACAAATAAATTTTAAAAAGTAAATATACTTACACAAAACTTGTGAAATGGCTGGGCATGGTGGCTCACGCCTGTAATCCCAGCACTTTGGGAGGTCGAGGCAGATGGATCATCTGAGGCCAAGAGTTCGAGACCAGCCTGGCCAACATGGTGAAACCCCGTCTCTACTAAAACAACAACGATAACAACAACAACAAACCATTGTGAAATTAAAAAAAAAAAAAAAAAAGAAAGAAATTTAAATTTACCACGGTGAAGTAGGTGGGTCCCAGGGCAGTGAAGGCACATACTGCCTTTCACCGGAGCCAATTTCCTGAGGGCACAGGTTTGTCTCGGGAGGGACAGTGTAGGGTCATGGTAGCTCAGCCAGTAGAAGCCCAGAAGCTTCTTGGAGGACGTACCTCCATTGCTGAGCCTGAGATTCTCTGGCCCAGCACCCCAAGTATAGACAGGGGTGGGCAGACATGTGTGCAAGGTCGCAGAACAAGAGGAGGTAAGCAGAACCTGAACTCCAGACTCCCAGCTGAACCCGGATTAACTGATCCGTCTCTCAGCACGGCGCCTGCGTCCAGCCCCTTTCCACAGCGGTTGCTCTGCAGGCCAGATCTGCCGTGGGGGCAGGAGAGCAGCGCCACCTGCTGCTATAAGAGGGATACGCAACTCTCAGCGACCAACAGGTTACACTCTTTAAAACCCAGCTCCTCTTCCTTAAATGACCAACCAATCCCCCCAGCTGCGAATCTGTTCTGCACCTCCTTCCCAGTGCCTGGCAGGGCCCTTAGCACTGCATGGTTGGGTCTTCTCTGCAAGAAGGAAAGATTGTTTCAGGAGAGGCCGACCATCTTCACTCTTATTCCAGCCCAGTGGGCATAGGAGGAGTTTACTCACATTAGACAGTGGCATCTCACCCTCGATACAAACCTTAGGAGAACACAATCCATTTGACAGCCTGGAGGAAGTCCCCAGGGAAGGGACAGAACTGCCCAAGGTCACACAGTTAATGAGTAGACAAGCTGGGGGGAATGAGTAGACTGATTCCACTGGGGATGGAAGTGGAGGGAGGTCACCATATTTGAGAATAACTGACGCAGTCTAAATAAGTAGCTCTTAGCATGTGCTCCCTGAACAGCAGTATCAGCATCATCTGGGAACTTGTTAGCAAAGCAAGTTATCAGGCCCTGCCCCAGATCTCCTGAATCAGAAACTCTGGGGACCGGGTATGGTGGCCACACAATCCCAGCACTTTGGAAGGCTGAGGCAGGAGAATCACTTGTGCCCAGGAATTTAAGACCAGTCTAGAGAACGTGGCAAAACCTTGTCTCTACAAAAAAAATTAGAAGGGCACAGTGGCACATCTGTAGTCTCAGCTACTCAGGAGGCTGAGGTGGGAGGATCCCTTAAGCCCGGGAGGTCGAGGCTACAGTGAGCCATGATCTTGCCACTGCACTCCAGCCTGGGTGACAGGGCATGACCCTGTCTCAAAAAAAGAAAAGAAAAGAAAGTGGGGTAGAGCCCAGTAATCTGGGATTTAGCGAACAAGCTTGAGACCCTGAGCTGTTGGTCTAAAGGAATTGTACCCCCCCCTTTTTAAAAAACTTTTATTTTGGAATATTAGATTTACAGAAAAGTTGTAGAGACAGTACAAACAGTTCCTGTATACCCTTCACCCAGCATACTGGAAGGTCCGCATCTTACTTCACCATGGTACATTTGTCAAAACCGAGACTGAAATTGATATATTAACTAAAATTCAGACTTGCTTCAAATTTCCAATTTTCCCACTAATGTCATTTTGATTCCAAGATCCAGTCCAGAATACCACACTGCATTGAGGACACTCTCCCTTTTCAGTTCTGTTACTGCTCACCTCCGTCTTCCTTCCCCCGGAAAGAGAGTGGGTGAGAAAAGCTGTTGTCCTTATTATTGAACTGGGGAAACTGACGCTTAAAAGTGCCAAGTGACCAAGTTCCCTTAGAGGGCAGTGAGAACAAGGTCTGCCTTACTCTGTTCCCTTTCCCCGGAGACTCTTGGTTTTCAGAAGCCCCTCTGGAATATCCTAGCTGGCCTAACCCTGTACCACCAGTGTAGACAAGGAAGTACCCTTACTACAGAGGGTCCAGCCCTTGGAAAGACTCACTTCCTGCCCCAACACCTCTTCCCCTAGACCCTGAGGGACAATGTCTTAGTGCCTTCAAACTTGGCAGAGTGAGGCCCCATGAAACACAGAGAGAGAGAGAAAGGGAGAAGAGGGAAATACTTTTATTTGCCCATCCAAAATAATTTGTGATAGGTGAAAAATGGCCACAAGCTCCTTGTGGTTCCACTCATCAAGACATGGAGTGTTTCTCATCTGTTGAATCTGGGCAAAGCCTTGTGATTTGCTCTGACCAAAAGAACTTAGCAGTAGTGACATTGTCCTAGTCCCAGTTCCAGGCCAAGAACCCAAGAAGTCTTTCAGCTTCTACTCTCACTCCCTTGGAACCTTGAAGCCATCATGTGAATCAGCCTGAGCTAGCCTGCTGGAGAGGCCACATTGAGGAGAACCAAGCAACTCCAGCCAACAGCCTGTCACCTGCCAGGCAAGTGAGTAAGGCTATTCTAGATCATCCAGGCCCAGTTGAGGTAACAGCTGACCTTAGCTCCATGAGGGACCCCTGGTGGGAGCAGCAGAACTGCCCAGCTGAGCCCAGCCCAAATTGCCAACCCACAGAATTGTGGGCAAATAAAGGATCTGTTTCTAGCTGCCAGGTTTGGGGATGGTTTGTCACACAGCAGAAGCTAACTGGTACACAAATTCACTTTTCTCTCATGGTAATGGGATCTCAGTTTTATTGCAGAAGGCAGAGTGCCAGTCTCAGTAGATGAAACATGACTGGTGTACTTAATCATGACAATTCTGTTCCCTGCTGTTTTAGCTTTCTCTGCAGCTAGAGGTGCAGTGGTAGCTGGCTCAAACCAAGGGCAGCTAAGTGAAAATATGCAGGAGGAGACAGCAAGAAACAGGCTTCTAACTGAGGTTTTACTTTCTGATAGAAGGTGACAGGTCTGGCCGGGTGTGGTGGCTCATGCCTGTAATCCCAACACTTTGGGAGGCCAAGGCAGGCAGTTCACAAGGTCAGGAAATTGAGACCATCCTGGCTAACATGGTGAAACCCTGTGTCTACTAAAAATACAAAAAATTAGCCAGGGATGGTGGCACATGCCTGTAATCCCACTACTCAGGAGGCTGAGAAGGGAGAGTAGCTTGAACCTGGGAGGTGGAGGTTGTAGTGAGCTGAGATTGCACCACTGCGCTCCAGCCTGGGCAACGGAGTGAGACTCCGTCTCCAAAAAAAAAAAAAATCTAGAAGAAAGGTATGATTCTACTTGACATGTATGTATGCATGTGTGTCTGAATTCAGCCGAAGTGCACACGGGACCCTCCAAAAAAAAAAAAAAAAAAAGGTGACAGGTCCAGCTAGTTTGGCCCTTCCTCTTCCTCTACCCCTCCTTCCTTGAATCCACACATGATTCTTAGGGCTACAGCAGCTGTCTTGGGACCATGAAGGAACATGCACTGCGAGCAAGGCAGAGGATCCAAGATGGGGCCCTTATCATCATGGAGCTGCCGAACCAACCGTCAGCCACCCATCTCCAGAATCCATGCTATGTAGAAAATCCATCTTCTGCTTCTTTAAACCACTGCAACCAAGGTTTCCTTGTCTCGCAGCTGAATGCAGTCCATATGAGAGGTTCAATATGTCTATAATATGTCTTATATTTGTCTATACATATAGACAAAAATGCAGAGGGATCCTTGCCCTTGGGAATTTGGAGCTGGCAGCGTGTGGCTCCCCAAGCCCATTTCTGTTCTCATTTCACCCTCTCAGTAATGCTTCAAGGGTAAGGCCATGATCCTATTGTCACAGACGTGGGAACTGGGGCTCCAACACTGTACAATGAGTCCAAGGCCTTGCAGCTGGCGAGAGGGTGCCCAGAGTCAGACCCTCTCTCCAGGTTCAAAGAGAGTGTACCCCTGCTATCCCTTCTGCATGGCCCAGCCTGCTGGAGGCCAAGTGTGTCTTCTGGGCTCTTGAAGGTGGCAGCAGGTGCCAGGGAGGCTGCTACTGCAAGTCTGGTGTGGATGCCCCCAGGTACACCCTTAGGTCCGAGAGAGTGGACTGGACAAGCTTGGCAGGGATGGTCTCTCGCTGCAGCTGCTGGTAGGCCGCGTAGCGGTGGCAGCCGCCGAAGGAGTAGAAGTAGTCACCTCCCTGAGACCCTTTGATCCAGAGGACGTCGATGGGGGGCACGCTGTCGGGGTCCTCCTGGGGAGAAGGGGCACAGAGTCAATGGACATTGTACAAGGCTTGAGAGTTTGCAAAGCAGACTTTGTCCCCCTGTGCTGAGCTCCTTACAAGGTGCTCACACTGGACTGAGAGACAGCTGTTAAATAGCAGGACTTTTGTGAGCTGGTCACCATCATCTTGTAGCTTGAAAATGAGCCATGGGAGAGTTTTACACCAGAGAAATGGACAGATGCTACAAATCAGGATTTCTCCCATCCAGACCCCAGGTTGTTAGACATACATCAGTATACCATACGCGCACTATCCATTGGCCCCGCAGACCCTGGGAATACAGTACAGCTGGAATGAGACAGAATCAGGCCCTGCCTTCAGGAGGCTCCAGTCTAGTGAGAAAGATGGAACAAGAACTAAATATTAGAGTGACAAATGCTATGATAATAACACAGGCAACAGGACAGAGATGGGCTCCAAGAGGCCTCTCTGAGGTGAGAATGAAGCAGAGCACTTGGAAAGATAGAGAGGTGGGGCCAGGCGCTATGGCTCACGCCTGTAATCCCAGCACTTTTGAAGGCCAAGGCAGGCGGATCACTAGAGGTCAGAATTTCGAGACCAGCCTGGTCAAAATGGCAAAACCCTGTCTTTACTAAAAATACAAAAATTAGCTGGGCGTGGTTGTACATGCATGTTATCACAGCTACTTAGGAGGCTGAGGCAGGAGAATCACTTGAACCTGGGAGGCAGAGGTTGCAGTGAACTGAGATCGCACCACTGCACTGCAGCCTGGGCTAGCCGGAGTGAGACCCCATTTAAGGAAAAAAAAAAAAAAAGAAAGATAGAGAAGTGGAATAGTTCAATGAAGAGCCTGACTGCCTAGGTTCAAATCTAGTTCTGCTACTTAACAACTATGTGATCTTGGGCAGTTAACCTTTTTGTGCCTCAGTTGTGCCATCTGTCAAATGGGATGGAGATAACAGATGCATCCCATAGAGCTTTTGGGTTAAATGAGTTAATATATTTAAAGCACTTCAAACCATGCTTGGCACCCAGAAAGCGCTCAGTAATGTATGCTGTGTATGACCTGAGGGAAGAACATTCCACGCAGAGGGAACAGCAAATGCAAAGTGCCTAAGGCCACAGCAGGTTCACTGTGTAGGAGGCATGGCAAGGAGGCCAGCGTGACTACAGTGGACTCCAGGGCTCAAGCAATGGTCAGAAAGGCCAGTAGGAGCCAGATGGTGCAGGTCTGCTTTTAAGAGCAGTAGGTGGGCCCTGGAGTGTTCGCAGTAGGGGAGGGTGACATGATCTGATGCACATTCTAGAAGGTTGTCACGGGAGAACAGACTTGGCAGGCTGGACAAGGGCACAAGGCGGAAGGCGGAGGGGAGGCCTCTGCGGGTGTTCAGCAGAAGATGCTGGTCTAGATGACGGTGTGGTGGGGACAAGGAGAGGTTTGGGACACATTTAGGGGGCAGATCCAAGGGATCTTGTGGAAGGGGTACATCCAAGGGCCAGAGAAAGAGAAGAATCTAATTTGACTTCCTACTAGGGGCCTGTGCAGCCAGGTGGAGAGTGGGTCATCCTCTAAGTGGGGAAAGACTGGGGCAGGACGGGTGCAGGGTGGAGTGCTCTGGGGAGACCCCATTAAGTGTTAGTTGCCTGAAAGGCCTCCTGCCGCTGGCCCACAGGTTCTCTCTCATGATTCCACAAATGATTAGTCAGCAGTAAGGCACAGCAGTTGCAAGCCTGAGCTCTGGAACCCGGCACACCGGACTCTGGATCTCGGCTCCTGTCCACAGCAGCTGGGGCACCCAGCCCTCTGAACATCATTCCTTACCTGTAAACTGGGAATAAGACACCTAGAGGGCTGCAGATGAAGAGTCAGCGAGCTGATGCCTATGGGGTGTTAGTGAAGCTCTAAGGAGGGCAGCTGTGCCAGGCAGGCCTTGTGCTGGGTACTGGAGGCATGATGGTGATTGGTCAGAATGATGGCTCCCAAAGATGTCCAGGTCCGAATCCTTGTGCATGTGTTACCTTACATGGGAGAAGGGACTTGGCAGATGGAATTGAGGTAAGGATTGTGAGATGGGGAGATTATCCAGGGTTATCTAGCTGGCTCAAATGTCATTATCAGGGTTCTTACAACTGGAAGAGGAGGTCAGAGTGATGCGATGTGAGAAGGCCTGGCATGATGTTGCTAGTTTTGCAGACGGAGGAAAAGGCCATGAGCCAAGCAGTGTGGGTAGCGTCTGGAAGCTGTGAAAGCCGAGGAAATGGATTCTCCCCTGGAGCCTACAGAAAGCAGTGCAGCCCTGCTTGATTTTAGCCCAGTAAGACCCATTTTGGACCTCTGACCATAAATAAATCTGTGTTGTTTTAAGCCATCGACTGTGGTAACTTACAGTGGCCCCAGAAAACCAGTACAGGTGTATTAGTAAGCAAAGGCAGAGCTGGTTCTGGACCTCAGAGCACACGGTTCCAGCACGGAAGGCAGGTGTCTCAACAGGATGTTAAAAGACAGTGGGCTATAATCCCAGCACTTTGGGAGGCCAAGGCGGGCAGGTCGCTTGAGGTCTGGAGTTTGAGATCAGCCAGGCCAACATGGGGAAACCCCATCTCTACTAAAAATACAAAAATTAGCCGGGCGTGGTGGCGGACGCCTGTAATCCCAGCTACTCCAGAGGCTGAGGTAGGAAAATCGCTTGAATCCGGGAGGCGGAGGTTGCAGTGAGCCAAGATTGCACCATTCCTCTACTCCAGCCTGGGTGACAGAGCGAGACATTAAAAAAAAAAAAGGGAGTTATGCTGGTGGGCACACAGGTGGCTGCAGGCCCACAGAAGCCCCTAACCTGGTAGGGATGGTCAGGGAAGATCTTGATATTGAGACAGGAAGACCAAGGAAGAGTCAGAAACAACAAGGAAGAGATAGAAGAGATATCTCTCCTATCTCAACAGGAGAAAAAACCCAGTGGTGGACAGGGCATGCATGGCAGATCGCTTCCCATCTCAGATAGCCAGGTACTGTGCTACTGCTGTGGGACGAGGTCCTCACCCTTGTGGAGCTCATATGAGCTTGGGAAAACAGAATATGAAATGCAACACAAATAAATGTATAATATAATTTCTGGGGGACATAAGTGGTATCCTGAAACACATCTCAGGCTAAAGGGAGAGCTAGAGAGGTCAGGGACCCTGACCAACGGTGATCAAGGAGGCCGAGAGCTGAAGCAGGCAGGGGAGCAGGCCTTGTGTTTGTCTGGGGACGTGGCTCCAGGCAGTGAGGACAGTAGTATAAACACTAGGACTGAAACGGGTGGCTGTAGTGGTGCTGGGTGGGGCTTAGGGATCTCATGTGCTCACCTTCTGAGCGTCCGAGGGAAGAGGACGCAATGTCACACGGGGCTAACCTGACACCTGTTCCTGCAGCTCCCCCCACCCAAGTTCCTGCCAGAATCACTCCAGCATTCTCGAACACTCTCCCTCAGTGGTGGAGCTGACCCTTGACCTCCCTCACTTCCCATTCAGACAAGGCCCTCCCAGCAGATAGGACACATCCAGTCCACTGTCACTGACTGTCATGGCCATGAGACCCCATGGCTTATCTCTGGGCAGTGGGGCCCAGCTGTCTGGGTGTGACTTCCAGCTGTGGTCACTTTTTAAGCACCTGATCTTGGTCAAGCCGCTGAAATCTTCCCTTGCCTCCATTTCTCGTCTGCAAAAGAGACACTATCTACCTCATAGGGTTGGCATAGGAAATTAAGGGACTTCCTGCAGCTCCTGGGCCACTGCAAGCACTAGCGTTATAAGCGTTATCACCACTACTTTAATTATCTCATCCAATTTCCTCCTTGCTCAAGTGAGGAAACAGAGGTACAGAGAGGCCCAACCACTTGCTCAAGGTCACACAGCAGATGCTAAGCTCTGGCTGAGCCCGGAACCAGTCCATTTCGTGTCCATCGCGGCGACCTCCCTCCTCCGGAGCCCTCCCTCCGGCTGGCCGGCCTCCCCGGGGCCTCACCCGGATCGTGTCCACGAGGCTCTGCACCTTGGCGTGGTCCAGCACGGACGGCAGCGGCCGGATGAGCACGCTCAGTGGCACGTTGTGCACCGCGGAGATGCAGCCCGAGTGGATGCTGCCGCCCTGCGCGCCGCCGCTCGGCCCGGGCCCCTCGGGCGCCCCCCGACCCGCGCCGGCCCTGCCCAGCGTTCCTCCCGCACGCAGCCCCATCGTCGCCGCCAACGTCGTAGCCGCCGCCGCGGGACGCGCAGCCTCCCGGGCTTTAACTCCGGCCGGTCCGTACCATTCCGCGCAGCCGGCGGCGGGGGGGGAGCGCCGGGTCAGGGCAGCGCGCGTTTCTCCCCCGGCGCCACCGTGGCCCAGCCTCCACCCAGCGGTCCCCAACCCGACTCCGGCTCCGCTCGCTGCGTGCTGCCGAACTCGCGCGGGGTTCCGGCTCTCCACCTGGGGGCGCTTTCCGCCTCCCCTCCGCCGCGCGGCGTCCGGGGAGTGGGAGCGCCCGGGCTGGCTGACTCAGGGTGAGTTTGCAGGTCGCGAGGCGGGAGGGGCGCGGGTGGCGCACCGGCCGGGGTGACTTAGGCCGCGGGGGCGGGGGCGGAGAGCGCGGCGGACCTGCCCAGCCAGGATGAGTCGGCAAAGCCCGCAGTGCGCCGCCGCCCCGCTGCTAGGGCTCCTAGCCAGCGAGGTGATCATCCCCACAACGGTTCCACTCCCAAGCTGGTGCTGGCTGTGTCTGGAGCCTTTCTGAACACTTTGCTGGTATATTAACTTATTTAAACCTCAAAACAACCCTCCAAGGAAGGTATGATTGTTATTCCCATTTTACAGAAGAGGAGACTGAGACACAGAGGTTTAAGAGATTTACCCAAGGCAATGGAGCTAGTAAGTGGCCGAATCCGCGTTCAAATCCAGACACTCTGGCTCCAGAGTCCGCTCTTTACCCTACCGCTGGCTGCCTTGGTGCAACAGGGACTTCACACGGAGCCCTCAGGAGGCGTGCTATATGTGGACCCTGCCTTCAAGTTCCACACTGTTTGTATCATTACAGCACTACTAGGAAGTAGCTGCAGTTCTAGACCCGCTTGTCCAAGGTCAGCTGGAATGAAAGTCAGGTCATAAGAGTCCAAACCATGGGACCACTTAACCACCACTCCAAGCAGGAAGGTAGGGGATCCCAGGCTCGGCTGAAGACAAGCGTGTCTGGTTTGCTTGTCTTCCTTCTTACCCTGGATGGCACGAACATGGAGGAATGCATACTTACCCTGCTAGCTGGAGAAAATTCGAGATGGAGGAGGGGCGGCCAGGGGTTTCTACTTTGCCTTGCGTCGGTTATTGACACTTTCTGAACCCCATCTGTAGAATGAAGTAATGCTGCCCATCACTCAAAGTTGTGTGAATTGCGAGTGCTCATAGTGCTCTGTGAATTGCATAACATCCATTTTGCTGTTGAAGATCATTTATTTTGGGTTCTTAGTCTCTCACAAAACCTTAATCTCACAAAATCTTAGTCTCTCAGAAAACACCGAGACCAAGTCTTGAACCTTTCCCTTTGGAAACATAATTCCCTTAACCACCTAAAGGATACTTTGTTTCAAGCAGTAGAACTGACACCCACACCTCTGCACTGGTTCTCCAAAAAAAATTTGACTGGGCGCGATGGCTTACGCCTGTAATCCGAGCACTTTGGGAAGTTGAGGTGGATGGATTGTCTGAGGTCAGGAGTTCGAGACCAGTCTGGCCAACATGGTAAAACCCCATCTCTACTAAAAATACAAAAAAATTAGCGGAGCATGGTGGCCTGTGCCTGTAATCCCAACTGCTCAGGAGGCTGAGGGAGGGGAATTGCTTGAACCAGGGATATGGAGGTTGCAGCAAGCCAAGATTGCACCACTGCACTCCAGCCTGGGCGACAGAATGAGACTCTGTCTCAAAAAAAAA